AGGAATCTAGTCCCTCCAGATTCTTTGCTCAGTCACTGTCTCCTGTAAGATAAAGGTTACAGGATAGTCTCAGGTTAAGGCTTGATTGACGTCCCATCCCGCAATGTATCGCGCTGAGTGACATGCATGTCAAAGATTAGATGGAGCACTTTTTCTCCACGAAAGGCCTGTTTACGAAACCCCCCCAACCCACTTCAGTGCTCTGCTATCGTTATGCGGCACAGGCTGAAGACCCAAACAAACTAGATGGTTATCTGTATCCAATTCCAAAAAGGGCTCAGCAGCCTGCCAAGTGGGGAGCATATGGTGGGGAGTAGTGAGTCAGTGAAAACAGCTGAAGTTATCAGAGGAACAGAACATTATGTGTTTATTACACAGACAATTAAATCCCTCCGTGTTGGGGGTGTCTTTTTGGATAAAATGTCATGTTGATAAGGTTGAAACAGCTGCTGAGAGAACTTTTGAAGGTTGCGTCCACATTTAATGTCAGCAGTTTAGATTGTGCTGATCCAGCGTGTGACAAATCATTCCCGCGTTACCTACCGCTCCGTGTCTGGATTTCGCTCTGCTTTTCTCTCGCCCGTTCTCCCCAGGCCTCACACTTTAAGACACACACCTCTCAGCACCCTGTACGCCTTATTATCATGCCCAGCTAGGAGCTCGCCCTCCGCTGCTGCTTGGAAATTTCCGTAGAGCAGTCCTTGTCCATTGTTTGGGGTGAGGGAGTGTGTGTGGGGTGGACAGAGGGAAGAAAAAAAGATAGAGAGGGAGGCAGGGACTGGGAGAATGTGTGTGAGTTTCTTTTGAGGGATAATGACTCATGAGGTTGCAGGGATTTGTCTGGGATTTTTGGATCATCGGCATGCATCGCAATCTGGGACCTGCACTGGTAATCTGCAGGGATCAAACCTATCCTTCTCTAGAACTTGGGCTAGCTAATCATTACGCTCATTTAGAAGAAAAGGGATCTAGCTGGAAAAACCCATTTGAAAGGATTTTGATTACTCCCTTGTCTTCTGGCACTATGGGAATCATCGGATCTGATTATCCTCCTCAGTCAGGTTCGCTTTTGATCATTTCATTGACACTAGACAAATACCTTATTGGTTTTGGATTAAAGTTGACTCTCGTGCCAAACACTTTCTGATATTTTAAAGCTCTTTTAGGCCTCAGCTAAATCTTTCCAAGTTGAGTTTGTGTCTCAGATCTTGGGCAACATACTGAGAGGTTTTCACTGGCTGCCGTTCAGAAGTTTGCACTTGATATCTGTCTTGAACACTGATGAAACTCAAGCACCTTGTTTACTCCAGAGCTAAGTTTAAATGTGGCTACAAGATATGTCTGCAGTGTTATCATTCTAAATGAAATATCAGGGCTAGGCATGTAAGACGTGCTTTTTCTAGGGTTCTTTTCACCACCGTTCCCAAATATTTGTGTTCTTTCTTTCAGCTTTGAGTCCTGCTTCTCTTTCCCTCAGTGAATTGTTGTGTGGGAAAGTATTGTACATCAAAAGAAAGCATGCAAATACATCATACTACCTAAAAGCTGTTTTTTTTATACAACTGGAACATAGTACATGTTTGAACAAACTGAATAAATGATTACACAATGAACTAGCTTTAGAACAAATTGAAATAAGGCCTTTTGACATGTCACTATAGGAAAAACAAGGGTGTGTAGATAAAACGGTGAGAGCTGCTTTAGTGTCATGGCCCAGTCGTTCTGTATCGTCTGTCACTGTCACAGTGCCATGGCTTATTGGGACACTTGAAAACAACAGACATTGTCAATGTTATCTATACCTATTGAAGTATGTGACTCAAGAAACACAAGTTATTTTGGTATTTGTTTGTTATCAAATCGTTTCAGGTTAAGCCTCATTTGTGAAAACATGCTGCTCTAACAATGACAGTAAAAATACTCAAGTTGTCTGGGCTGCTTAGCAACAAGGGTTTAGGTATTTGACTTAGAATACATATTTTAATATAATTGCATGAAGCGATATTCTAAAAAAACGGAAATGTTTCTTTAAAGTTCAGAACATGACTTCTTATGTAGCTTCTAAGCAGGTGAAATGTTCTGCAGATTATCTTTTTATTTTTGCTTGCTTAATGCAGATAATTTTATCTTTTTCTTTCGGCAATAAATAGTTTTCCAAACAGAGCAAAACATGGCACAAATGTAATTTCACACTGTGTCAAGGAATAAAAACATGAATCATTGTGGGGGGTTCTGTTATTTTAATTTATTGGCACAGCTCACCGTAACCAGATTTCTTAAGATGATGTTTCTTTTAGGTTGTTTTTTTAGTAGAGATGTTGATAACACTTTCCTTTTTAAAGGGACACTGCTCCTCTCTTACAGAGCCTACTGCACTGTGAAGGTGTGAACAACCAGAGCTACGTCTGTGAGTCTGGACACTGCTGCGGGGAGTCCCTGTGCTGCAGCTACTACTATGAGCTCTGGTGTAAGTATCCTGCTTAAAAGAAAAAATATATACATACATACCCCTTGTCACTTTCTCGCCAAACGCCTCTACTATTGAGGCCTAGGATATTTAGCTACCTCAATTATTCTGTTGTTGCCCAAAAATCTCATCACCCCTGAGGATTATTAGTAATAACAAATACATTTAGATTTATTTTGAATAAAGTATGGGCGTGTTTTGGATTCTACAACATTTTTCAAGAACGTTATTGTTATTATGAAAGCACAACCACATTGGAGTTGGGACAGCCTCAAATGGTGCATATAATTTAAAAAAAGAAACACATGGAATAGATAAGGCATGGATTGGCCAATATAACAACATTTTAGCATTATAAGGATAAAATATCCATAAATTCCAGGAAAAAAAGTGTAATATATTAGCAGCAGCAAAAGTTTACATTGGGACAAATCTGTTTCTAGGAATGATTTTTTTTGTAAACTATGTCATATTACCTTTTTTCAGATTCAGCTGAAAGTGATAGAGCATCAGAGCTTCCGGAATTTGACAAAGACTACGTAGAAAATGTCCAAAAATGTTCTTTTAGCAGAAAGTAAAGAACCTTAAAGGTGGGGTAGGTAATTTTGGAGAAACCAGCTCGAGTGCGCTAGAATGTGAAAAAATATGCCACTCCCTTACAGAGCCCCTCCTCCAACACACACGAACGCACACATGACCAATGAGGGCACGAGATAAGTTTGTGCACAGATGGAAAGCTGACAGGCAGGTAGGCCATCCAGTTATTTTAGCCGGGCCGGCTCAGATGATTGGTTGTGCTTTTTACAGTACTACGGCTTCCACAGATGACGTCTTTTTATGGATGTTTTGTCAAAGCATTTAAGATATTCATTGCTATCGGGATGTTAAGAGCATTCCATGGACTATAACAAAAAGTGTTTCTGAAATAAATTACATACCTCACCTTTAAGTTTAAAATAATTAATAATTTAAAGATATCTTTCTTGGGATTACCATAAAATAGTGATGGTAGGAGTCTCTGGGTTATTGAAACACAAAACATTTTTTTGAAAATGTTGAAATGCATTAAATTTACTTTTTGATTCAAGGTATGTTATGTTTCAGCTAAACCTCCTTCCCACTCTAAACATTTGTTACATGTGATAATGTAATGATACGTGTATATGCAGTATTAAATGTATTATATATATTAGTATTATTCCCCCCCCCCTCACATCCGCAACATCGGAGTCATTTTCGACAGTCAGCTCAAATTCAACCACCACATAAATCACATCACCAGGACTGCCTTTTTCCACCTCAAAAACATTGCCCGTCTCCGCCCATCACTCTCCTCCTCTGCTGCTGAAACCCTGATTCATGCATTCATCAGCTTCACGGACTCGACATACGGCAAATAAGCATCCTCTATGCATACCATCCCAAACCTCCTCAATAAACTCCAACATATCCAGAACTCTGCTGCCCGCCTCTCAACCCACACCCGCTCCCGAGACCACCATTCACCTCCCAATCCTCCAGAACCTCCACTGGCTCCCGTCCGTTCAAAGAATCCACTCAAAGTCCTCCCTAATTAACTTACAAAGCCCTCAACAACTTGCCCCCCTTCCTCACAGACCTTCCTGGCACAACCACACCCCTTCCCGCTGGCCCTCCGCTCATCAGAGCCACCTCCTAATCCATCCCCACCCGCACCATCACCGACCCTGGGGGGACAGAGCCTTCTCCCGGTCGCTCCCCTCCCCTCCTGGAACTCCGCCCACAACCCACCAGAGGACTGCACCGGACCTCCCACCTTCAAAAAAACTCACCAAAAAACTCACCTCTTCAATTCTGCTTTTAATGTGTGATTTTTTTGTATTATTTGCTTTAACTTTAACTATATATTTATTTGTTGTTCCTTTCTTCTCCTTTTCTTTTTCTTCCCACTATTATCTGTAAAGCGGTCTTTGAGACCTGTAAAAAGCGCTAACAATTAAAATCTATTATTTTATTATTATTATATTTACACAGATTCTTGCTTTGAAAATATTCTATAAATGTTTTTCTTGTGATAATGTAGCACATTATTCCACAAGGCGGCATGGACATAAAGGATGTTTTTGGTAATGCTCGACATGATGTCTGTCCGGCTCCATCCCATGTTTTGACCCGTT